CAACCAGTGCGCCATTGGATACCAATCGTAATGTGGCGATAATGTGGTCTAATGTCTAATGTTTGAAGAAAGGGAGAGTGGAAGAAAAGTGAGTAAAAAGTGGTAAAAAAGATAAAATCAGAAATGAAGAATAAAAAGAGGCAAAAAAGGCCACAGAGCACGAGAAAGACAATACGGCTGATGGTGGTGGCGGCAGGACAAGTCATTAGAAAAGAGGACAGGGCAGCAGCAGCAATGGATTTAACAAGACAAACAGACAAATAAAAAACAACAAAGGGGTAAGCTAGTGGATTGAGATTTGCATACACTCAGCAGCACATCATCATCATCATCATCGCGTGCGCCCATCAACGGCGACATCATTCGATGATGTTTGGAGATGCACTTTCCCATTTCCAGTTCCAGTGCAGTCAATGAAGGAAATGTCGTGCCACGCACTGGTGTCCACAAAAGTACAAAAACAGAAAGCGGCAAATGAAAGAAAGTACACTCTTTGGCTCTTTTGTTTGTGCACTTGAATCATCTCAACTCTACGTTCAAAGAGAAAGAGAGTCACTCGATAATTGTGCTAGGGTAAACGATGCAATCGAATCAAGCGGGCGGCGTACTACCAATGTAAATAATCGAGCACATTAAAGCAATGCAGTCAGTAGAACAAAAAGAAAAAAAGAAAGGAGAAAAAAGAGTCAGGAGTGTGTTTCAGTGCAGCCGACAACGATGGCGGCGACGACAAGGCTGGGAGTAAATGGTTCTTTCATATTTGCCCTAATGTGTCTTGATTGCTCTTTGATTTAGTTGCAAATAACCAGATAATAAGCGAGCAAATAGACTGACTCGCTGACTTGACTGCAAGTGAAAGTGATCGCCAGGGCGATTAGTGCAAAAGGAAGGAAAGGGAGGAAAGTGGCCTTCCTCCTTTACTTCCCAACTTTAGCTTCCCTTCTTATCTCTCGGTTCTATCGAACCTTAGAGCATAGTCGCTACTGCATCATTAGACTGAAAGTCGTCCTCTCAATAAGACAATTGTCTAGAGATGAAGTCTGTTCTCGGGTGCTGTCCAGAAAATAAGACAAAAAGACTGCTCTTACTATTCTTGCTTTTCCAAAACAAAAGAGCAGTCAGTGAGAAGAAAGGAAACAGCAGTAAACTGAAGAGTCTCAAAAAGACAATAGAGTTGAGAGGNTTCTTGCTTTTCCAAAACAAAAGAGCAGTCAGTGAGAAGAAAGGAAACAGCAGTAAACTGAAGAGTCTCAAAAAAACAATAGAGTTGAGGANGAGATGAAGTCTGTTCTCGGGTGCTGTCCAGAAAATAAGACAAAAAGACTGCTCTTACTATTCTTGCTTTTCCAAAACAAAAGAGCAGTCAGTGAGAAGAAAGGAAACAGCAGTAAACTGAAGAGTCTCAAAAAGACAATAGAGTTGAGAGGTCTTTTCATCTGTAAGAAGACAAGGTCAAAGGTTATTTTGATAAAAAGATTGAAAGTTATGCACTCAATGCATTCCAGAGTGACTGCAGTTCCTGCTCAAGTCAGGAAGCGAATTCTCGCCTGATCAAATTGCTTAAACAACAGCTTTCAAAAAGGGCACACTAAAACCAAATCACTCTCTAGTGGCATTGTGAAAGTGAAAGTTACAAAAAGTTGCAGTCTTTTTCTTATTTTACCAAACCAAATCAGCCCGAGACCATGCTTCACTAGCTGGCACTGAGGGCACTGCAAAACCCGTTGCTCAGCAGGCAGTCTCTTTTCCTCTCTGTTTGCATCTGCTGCTATTGAAATGAGTGCAACGATAACAAGGCATGAAATAATCAGAAAAGCAGCAGAAAAGGGGAGAGCTAGGAACGCCGACTGCTAAGGATGCTGTGAATGCTGGAAAAGGCAGAGGGGAAGAGCCGAGTGCAGGGCGGCGATTTACTTGGCAAATTTTAATGGTTTTGCTAATTCAATTTTGCTAATTATAATGACAAAAAACTTGCAGCGACAAAGTGGAATACGCACACACACACACTGGTAGTGGAACAAAGACAAGAGACGAACGGAAAAAGAGGAAAATAAGATGGAAGCTGCAAGCAAAACTGCTGCTACAATTTAGCTCAAGATTGGGAAAGCGCTAGAGAGTAGAGGAGCTAAAAACGCTGGCACAAATCTGTGTCTTGCCAGCGGCTGCTGCTGAGGAGCTTAGCAGAAACAGAGAGAAGGAAGGAAAAACAAAAAAAGTAGAGAAGATGAAGCTGAAAACTGCAAAACACTACAGCAAAGTGACATAGCGTCCGATAATGCAATACAAAATAAAATAAAATCAAAGAAAGGTGGTACAGGACAGGCAGGCTTTTGGTGGTAATTACCGAAAAAAGAGCTACCCGTTCCAATGCCCAGCAACATCAATTTAATTACCATTATTATTACTATTCCCGCTCATTTAGCGTGAGAGCCATTTAGTAGGAAATGTATGAGTGCACCTCGATAAATATGTGAAGGGGTTTAATAAAAGCACTACTGCTAAACTGAAAAAATCTAAAAGTGATCAAAACTTAGTCTCTAGCTCCAGCCATCATCGATATGATTTGTTTTGTAGCAAAAGAACGTTTACAGGCAAGAGAGTTTGTGAACTACAGATAACTGTGCGTCAGCAGCCATTAGCTACCCAAAAACATTAACATGCCTTTCTCATCTTCACACTGGTTAAACTGATAAAAATCCGAAAAAAAATGTTGGGCAGTGAAAATCGAAAGGCATTTGAGCTAGTGCGTGCCGGCAACTTGCTCTTCTTTCAAAACAATATCCGATTAATTGTAATCTAATTGAAATTTAAAATTACATTGTGCAAAAAAGAAAGTGAGCTCAATTCAGTAGCTAAAACTGCTGATGCAGTAGTAACACGATGCTAAAAACAGAGTCTAAACTTTTTTATCTGATTGAATTATTAGGGCTAAAGCTGTTTGAAACGGGGCAATTAGAACTGTTATTCGGACTAAAAAGACGATCAAAACGGGTAAAAGAAAACGAGTGAAAAAAATATTTTCCTTGAACACTTGCACCATCACAGTCACTTTCAGATCCACTTGTTTGTCCCACAGTCAGATCAAATTAAGAGAGCGAGACGTTAATAAATGCTCAATATTTGCGGCATTTGTCAAGTGGACTTCAGACTGGCAGTCGAGTGAGGCAAACGACCAAGAGAAGAAAAAGAATCACCAGTGCTCACCAGTGGAGTGCAAACAAATAGAAAATAGACATAGAGATCAATTAATTAGCTAATTTATTAATTGCCACGCAGGAAAGAGCAGAAAAGGAATAGGGCAGGAGAGAAGGGTGGTCGATCGGTGGCAGAGAGGCGCAATCGATTGACAATTGTGTGTTTGCTTGCATTGAATGAGAGGAGGGGGCAACGATTTCACAAGTACTGCGGCACCAGAATCCGAAGAGTAGGTCTCCACTGACCATGATTAAAGGGGGAGAGAGAGACAGCAGCAGGGCACACAAAAAGAAGCTCAAGGAAGAAGCATTAGAAGCAAATGAAGCAAATCAAACGGCAATTGCAAGTATAAGCAAATTAAAGGCGAATCAATTTGAAGTGAAATGAAAGAAGGACACAAAACAAACTCAAGTAAGTACATCAGCAGAAGTGGACTAACGACTACTAAATGAATGGCACTGAGTGTCACAACACTTTTTTGCTTGTTTGTACCACAACTGACACTCTTGGAATACACATTTTCACTGAATTATTTTTGTTTTGAAAAAAAAGTTTAGAAAAGCTTAATAGGACACATAGACCAATTACGCATTAGACAATTGCTTTTTATTAATTGTCAATTATTCGCAATGTAGCAGGAGATTGAAAGCAACATCAGACAGACAGACAGACAAACACATCCGCCAATTGATTTGCTAGCGGCTCATTTGAGTGGCAGACAGAATAAGAACAAAACAGAAAACAACTATTGACCAGTTCACTGTCTCATATCTTAATTGCTAAGTCGATTCATTGTGCTCTAAATCGGCCAACATGCGCCGAGTTATAATGAAGTGAGACAAGCAGACTGCAGTGCCAACTTCCAATTAATTCAACTTCAACTTCGAGTGTCACTAAGCGGAAGGCCAGCGGAACAACAGACCATCGACAGAAGTAAATTAAATCAATTAAAATCAAACGTCAGTCATTGTCAGAGACTGGCGCTACAAAAAACCAATGTAAAACAAAAAACTAAAGAATACTGTGTGCGTGTCTGCAAAAAAGAAGAGTTTAATGGCAATAAAGTAGTCTGATAAACGGTTGAGCTTCATTTTGTACGTGAAGTACTAATATCATTTCAGTGCTAGAAGACGGTGATTAAGAATTGATGAACCAGATCCAGGCTGGCTAGCAGAATTGATGTGCTCTTTTTATCCTTGATCCGGGATCAGACAATGTACTAAAATTAAACTTACCTTCTCCCATTTATATCGTTTTCAGTTGTTCATGATAAAAATATTGCAATTGTTGAAAAAAAACCGACAAAAAACTGGACATTTATCGTCAAACAACAAAGGAAAAAGCGCATTTCTGGAGATTTCTGGAGTGTTTTTCAAAAAACCATTTTAACAGTGCAGCGTGCGCCGGCGCTTCTGCTGTGGTAACAGACGCACTCGAGGCAAACAAAAAAATCGTGTTGTCAAAAGTAGACTCTCCGATTCCGAGTAAGAGCGACGGAAGGGTGAGCCTTCCACAGTGCTACCCAGTGCTGCCCTCTGTAGCACAGTGAAAGTTAACCCTTCCCATCGCTCCTACTCTGAAGTGGAGAGCCTGCTTGCAAGTGACTTGCAGCTTTGTTTTGGACCAGCTTGGATTTTAAGCGATAGCACTCACCAGAGATCCAAGTCACTCTCTGATTCATCCTCAGCCATCTTGCCTGTCCCGAAGAGCGCCACTTTATCGGTAAGAGGTCAAATCGGGGCTGCAGGGTTGATCACCGTTCACTTCAGTTCTAATTGCTCAGCAACAATTAGAGCAATCTCACAATGGACGCCGCTAGTAAAGCTAGTCTTGTCGAGCAATTCACTTCACTAACCGGTATTTGCTTGCATGCACTCTCTATCTTTTCTCAACTCTTGTTGTGATCCTACTTTTTGACCGGGTAAACTAACCAATTTCATCTGCTTGCATTCTACAGGCGCTGGAGAAGATCGAGCACAGTTTTTCTTGGATTTGAGTGGCTGGAACGTGGAGGTAAGTTCATCAAAATACTCAAACTCAGAGTGTAATGTTTTCTTGTTTTGTCATAGCTTGCCATTCAATCGTATTACGATTTTGACAGCGCTGAAGCTCCGCAGGAGTTTAATCCACGAGAGAACTTACTTCAAGATCTAATTGATAACGTCGACGGCGGCGACGACGACACTGCTGCAGAGATGGCCGACGAAAACCCTAACCCGCGTCCGGCAAATGAGCCGCAGAACAAGGACAGCAACAACAATCAGCGTCAGCGCCAGGCAGCTGCCGGTGGCATTGCCACGCTTTCTTCGCTCCGCGAAAATCCCGATCAAGACCAGGGACAGCACCGACAGGCTTTCTACGCCGGCGGCTCGGAGCACTCTGGCCAGCAAGTGCTCGGTCCAAATGGTCGCAAAAAGAACACTGACCGAATCGTCTCTGATATGTTCAAGCAGGCTAAGGAAAACGCCGAAGTGCTAGATCCTTCTGAGGCTGGCCCTAGCTCTCGATTCTCAGCTTTCACCGGCTCCGGATACTCGCTGGGCACTGAGGCCATCGACTCACAACAGATTGCCGGTCCTTCAGCTCCTGGAACACAGGAGAACACTCGAAATGTTCTAAAGTTTTGGAGCAATGGTTTTAGCATTGATGACGGCCCTCTGCGAGCTTATGATGACCCGGCAAATGCTGCCTTCTTGGAGTCCATTCGCAGGGGAGAGATTCCCGATGAGCTGTCGCAGAATGGGCGTATTCGCGAGAAGGACATCAGCATGCAGGATCATCGCGATAGTGAGTACCAGCCGCCGCCGAAGAAGGCCCAGCCTGCCTTCGTCGGTGAAGGCCATCGCCTGGGCACTCCCGCCAGTGAGCTCATTGCGCAGTCTGCCTCTGCTCTGCCAAATGATCCCAAGTCAAAGGAGAAGGCTGCAGCTGATGCGGCTGCATTTATCAACTTTGATGCCTCGCAGCCAAACACCAAAATTCAGGTCCGACTTGCTGACGGATCGAGGTATGGAACACTTAGTGGTTGACACATACAACATTCACTAACCAAATTACTTACAGAATGGTCATTCAGATCAACCTCTCTCGATTGGTCTCCGACCTGCGCCAGTACATCTGCATTTCTCGCCCCGAGTACGCCGTCATACCGTTCAACCTGATGACTACCTTTCCCAACAAGGTCATCGAAGACGAGACTGCCACCATTCAGGCGAGTGGACTGGCCAACGCCTCCGTCGTGCAACGCCTCGTCTAAGAGAGGCCGGCTGTCAATGACGGCTAGCCATGATAGCACAAACTGTGTTTTACAATTGGAAAACTTTAATATTCAACAACACTTCAGCGGCAATCGGTTTTTATCAATATAAATAAATTTTCCCAATTTACAAATTGCGGAAACATGAAATCTGTGTGGCGGGCAAATCATTGTGTGTGTAGCAGAAAGAAAAAACAAAAAGTCAGACAAAAGAGTACAAAAGAGAAGAAGAAGAAGAATTGGAAAAGTCCTATGAAGGAGGCGGCTGGTCAGAAACAGTGGCAAAAACAAAGGTGAACATTTGTGTGTTGTGTATTTCAGCAGACAAAGTCAGGGTTTCTTTCGGAAAGCAGTAATATCGCTTTAAACGTGGTTTATACTGGTGAATCATTTTGTGTGTATTTGGACCGGAAAAGGAAGAGGGGAGCAGGAGGAGGAGAAGAGGCGTGATGCCAAATCAAACAAAATGATATTGAGTGGTCTATTTGTGTGTGCAGGTAGGAAGGTTGAATGTCAATGTGGGAGTTACTTTTGGCATCGTCAGTTAAGTAAAGTGTGTAGGTTTTGCATAAGTTCAGAGCAGGAGTTGTCAGAATGTTTGTTTTTTATAAGCGAAACAGGTGAAAAAGGACATGGAAAAGGAAGTTGAAAACGGAGGAGGAGATAGCAAAATGACAGAACAAGACAGAGAGCACAGACACAACAAAAGGGCCTTGGTGGAAAAACAAACACATTGATTTGAAAAGGGAAGCGAAACAAACAGGAAGAGAATTGTGTAGTGTCTCTGTTATTCAGTTGTTGTGGTAAGTTAATTGCAGATTATGATATATAAACATTTGGGCCATCACACACAGAGAGTTGTGTACAGAATAGATTTTTTTAGATCTGAAGGGAGATAGGGACATTTCCGGACTGAGAAGAAACTACTGGAAGGCCGAACCGAAAAGTGGATCGATCGGTGAAGAAGAAGGAAAAGGAAAAGAAAAGAAAGAAAAGGAGGGAGAGAAAACAAAACAGAAGCAGAAAAACAGCAAAAGAACTTCAAAGCAAAGAAGTTCAATCAGAAAGCAGGTATGTGTGCGCGCGTTCACGTTTGTCAAATCAAATTCCAAACCAAAGTCAAACATCAGCAAAAACAACAACAACCAAAAAGAAGCTTGCTCACAAAACATCAGCTGTTCTCCTTTCAAAGGAGAACACAGCAGGCAGGGTGACAACAAGAGAAAGAAAGGGCAGTGGACACACATTGTCACACCGTCGTCGTTTGGCACAGAACAGGTAAATAGAAACAAAAAAGCAATTGGTACAATTGATCAACAGAGATAGACAGACTGTGATGTGAGAAAGCAGGTTTCGCTGTATGGGGTGATGAGGGCAAAACAGAAGAAGAAGTATGAGAGAGGGAGTTCTGACTAGAGTTCCGACTGGGTGAATGGGCTGATCAGATCACATTTGAATGATGTTGGTGCTGAAGGTGGTGGTGGTGCTGATGGAGTTGTTGTTTATGGTGGTGGACAGTTGCTGAAGGTGAGTGTGTGCGTATGTGCAGCTGTANAGAAGTATGAGAGAGGGAGTTCTGACTAGAGTTCCGACTGGGTGAATGGGTTGATCAGATCACATTTGAATGATGGTGGTGCTGAAGGTGGTGGTGGTGGTGGTGGTGGAGCTGGAGTTGTTTGTGGTGGTGGACAGTTGCTGAAGGTGAGTGTGTGCGTATGTGCAGCTGTGAAAGGAGAGGGGGAGAAAGGTGTGTGTTCAAGAAATATAAAGTAATGTGGACAACTGGAGATGACCATTGCCCAAATGGTGGAAAGATGGTGCAGTGAATGACAGGTAGAATATAATACTTTATGTGCAAGGAGGGGTGAAAGGAGATCAAGTGGTGGTGATGGTCAAATGACTGTGCTGTTACGCCCAAATCTGTTGCTCTTCGAATCAATCAAGCAGCAGAGTTCTCGACGTCATCACTCGTGTTCCTAGGGGGCGATTCACAACAGCTAAGTTCAGAAAGAAACCGTTCAAGAGAGTTTAAAGTTTCAAGAAGGCAGGTGAGCACACAGGTGAGGATTGAATTGGTTTGGAAGGGGGAAAGGTTTGGGAGTTACGTGATTCAGTCAGAGTTAGTGAGCGTCATTAACAATCATCAGGCGAAATAATAATAAAATTATTGAATGAATGAAATAAATGAAAATAAACGAAAGTGAAAGAAGGAAGTTGCAGTGATGGAAGTGGTGGAGGTAGTGATAAAGGTGGTAAAATTATATTTAGTTAAGTAATGAGGATCGAAGTTAGAAGGAAAGAGAGAGCAAACATGGGAAGGAGAGAAAATAAAAAGAGAGAAGAGGAGTTCAAGTTAGATTACGACATTAACTTTGGCAANTATTGAATGAATGAAATAAATGAAAATAAACGAAAGTGAAAGAAGGAAGTTGCAGTGATGGAAGTGGTGGAGGTAGTGATAAAGGTGGTAAAATTATATTTAGTTAAGTAATGAGGATCGAAGTTAGAAGGAAAGAGAGAGCAAACATGGGAAGGAGAGAAAATAAAAAGAGAGAAGAGGAGTTCAAGTTAGATTACGACATTAACTTTGGCAAACTGCTAAAAGATACAAATTCAACGCTACAAAGTAATAAGAAAACAATAAGAAGAACAAAACTCCAACAAAATGATTTTCATTCAGTCCATTCAGTGAATCAGTCCAATCAAGTGCAAAAAAGTGTGAAAAACGGGAATACCACACCAATGGTGATCAAAGTGAGTGTGTGGTGGCACGCAAACAAAAACACACACAAACTGAAAAGAGGAGTGACACTTACCTTCGAAAGATTGACAGTGGAAAGCGCGGCTTGGGCGGCGGTGAGGCTGCCTGCAGCATTGGCATTTGATTCTTGTGCGTGATTTGAATCTGTAGAAAAAGAAGCTTTAAAAGTAAATTTCCAGCATTTAACTTTTGACATACTGTGCATGGAGGCTGGAACCACGGTNCAAAGTAATAAGAAAACAATACGAAAAACAAAACTCCAACAAAATGATTTTCATTCAGTCCATTCAGTGAATCAGTCCAATCAAGTGCAAAAAAGTGTGAAAAACGGGAATACCACACCAATGGTGATCAAAGTGAGTGTGTGGTGGCACGCAAACAAAAACACACACAAACTGAAAAGAGGAGTGACACTTACCTTCGAAAGATTGACAGTGGAAAGCGCGGCTTGGGCGGCGGTGAGGCTGCCTGCAGCATTGGCATTTGATTCTTGTGCGTGATTTGAATCTGTGGAAAAAGAAGCTTTAAAAGTAAATTAAAATAATTTAACTTTTGACATACTGTGCATGGAGGCTGGAACCACGGCTCGCCGTCAATTTGCATGGGGAACTTTTTGCGAGTTCTGGGAAAATATTTCAGCGTTACAAATCAAAGTTTATAAATGTTGATGATACTATGAGGTTTACCTAATGACGACATTGCTGCACTGGGCCAGCCGCCGCCCTGACGCCCTCAAGCCGGCTTTCACCTGGCCCATGTGCATGCAGTTCTCGAGGCCGATCACCTCGATGTACTTGTCGCCAATGTCCTGGACGGCATTGGCGAGGTCAATGTTGATGCTGGAGGCGCTGCCGCCGTAGCTGGAGCTGTTGCAGTTGGCTGGGAACACGAGTAAAAAACCAAAATCTGTTTGATGAATTCAAATACAACATTTCAAACAATGCCTACCTGAAGTACAGGAAGTGCCCGGTGATCGGTGGTGATGGTGGTGACTGGCAGAACCAGAGCTACTAAAGTGACTAGCAGTGGACTGCGACTTTTTCTTCGCCGGCGTNGTAGCTGGAGCTGTTGCAGTTGGCTGGGAACACGAGTAAAAAACCAAAATAAGTTTGATGAATTCAAATACAACATTTCAAACAATGTCTACCTGATGTACAGGAAGTGCCCGGTGATCGGTGGTGATGGTGGTGACTGGCAGAACCAGAGGTACTAAAGTGACTAGCAGTGGACTGCGACTTTTTCTTGGCCGGCGCTGCCTTCTTGTGCTGTTTACGTTGCTTTTTGGTGTTGTCACCCCACAGGTTGGAGCCGCCGTAGATGGAAGGGATGTTGAGCACGGCGATGCCCTGCAAAGAAGGGCCGTTCTTCAGGTCTAGCTGAACGCCGTCACACTGTGGGGTGAAAATGGAATCGGTTAAAATTGATTTTCACCAAAAAATGTAACTTCTAACCATTATATCAACATCCTCGTGGAGGTTTTTGCAAGAGGCCGAAAAGGTTTCCGAGGTGGCAAACTCAAAGTACACCATCTTATTTCGGGCACGACTGTTGAACTTTTCCGGATGTTTCTCTCTTTCAAGGTGAAACTTGAAGGCAATTGAGGCGTCCTAAAGCAAATCAAAGTTACTCNACACTGTGGGGTGAAAATGGAATCGGTTAAAATTGATTTTCACCAAAAAAATGTAACTTCTCACCATTATATCAACATCCTCGTGGAGGTTCTTGCAAGACGCCGAAAAGGTCTCCGAGGTGGCAAACTCAAAGTACACCATCTTGTTTCGTGCACGACTATTGAACTTTTCCGGGTGTTTCTCTCTTTCAAGGTGAAATTTGAAGGCAATTGAGGCGTCCTAAAGCAAATCAAAGTTACTTAATTGCATCAAAACACAGCATTCATCCCACTTACCACTCCGATGCTAAAGTAGTTGTTGAAGATGTTGTTGCTTGGCACTGGGTCCCCGTCCTCTTTGCTGTTTTCACTGCTACTGACCTCAATCTTCCACCGGTCAAGCATCACCACACTGCTCGCCTCCACCTTCTTCAGAATCTTATTCAGACTCTCATTGTCGTAGCCGGGGCCCCAGCGCAGACACCTCGCCAGGTCGTTGCCCGTTCCGAGCGGCAGAATGGCGATGGGCGGCACGCCGGTGGTGAAGTTCATCTTGTCGATGGTGTCGAGAATCCAGCCGACGGTGCCGTCGCCGCCGCAGCAGAGCACCCGAAAGTTGGGCGTGTCTTTGGCGAAGCTCAGGCCCTGAAAGGGACCTTGCGTGGCANGTGGTGAAGTTCATCTTGTCGATGGTGTCGAGAATCCAGCCGACGGTGCCATCGCCGCCGCAGCAGAGCACCCGAAAGTTGGGCGTGTCCTTGGCGAAGCTCAGCCCCTGAAAGGGCCCCTGCGTGGCGATGTTGTACACTTGCCGAGGATTGAGCAAATACNTTCATCTTGTCGATGGTGTCGAGAATCCAGCCGACGGTGCCGTCGCCGCCGCAGCAGAGCACCCGAAAGTTGGGCGTGTCTTTGGCGAAGCTCAGGCCCTGAAAGGGACCTTGCGTGGCAATGTTGTACACTTGCCGAGGATTGAGCAAATACTGAAATTTGCGCAGGATTCTGAAACAAAGGAGAAAGTTTTTGGCCATTAGTTCCCGGGACTAAAAAAAGGAAAGTGGAGGCAACAACAAACAACAACAAACCTCAAGCCTTGCCGGCCGCCGCTCTTTGGATTGATCAACACAATCAGTGGATGCTGTCCGCTTTGCGGTGTAATTTGAAACGATATGGGACTCATCTGCAAAAGTGGTAAACAACAACAACAAACATCGTCACCAT